GCCATTACCAGTATCAATAGATGATACTGGAGATCTGTGGAGGTGCGACTGCACCCTGCGTGACGGGAGATGTCTCCCGTCCTTTGATTCTTCATAAATATTGAATCATTTACTCTCGCGAACATTGCAAGTTGCCTACAGTTGCCATACAGGCTGCAAGAGATGCTACTAACGACTACATCCACATGAAAATAGGACTAAATTGTCTTAAAACTTCAACTTTTTTTTCGTATAATATAAATATTAGGACCCACAGCTTAACAGATAGTGGTATCAAGGCGAGAGATGATGGCGTGTCATAAGCCCGTCACGGGAGACTGACAGCCAGAAAAGGTAGAAGTTTACCCGGGCGTCTCCAACGCTGACGCCGCCAATACCGTGAGATCTATCGCGGGAGGGACCAAGGTGGGGCTGGGGAGGTGTTGGGGAGGAGCCACGGTGAGGTGAGTGAGGTGGGGGCGGGGTGGGACCACTTGAGTATGGGGAGGGGCTTGGCAAAGGGGCAAGAGTTATAAAGCACCGCTCCTGTGCCAGGTAAGTCCACTACGGGCTCACCATAGCCCGTGCTACTTGGAACTTGTTCCCAGTAGCTGAATCTATAACAACAACAAGAACTTGACAAAGGGGGGGGGGGAGGAGATGGGGTGTTAATAGTCATTCTGAGAAAGTTGTGTTTTTAACGGAACATTTTCAGAACATTAATTATGTATTTAAAACTTTAAGTATTGTAATACATAATATACAATCACATCTTTTGTATAAAATTCTTATAGTTTATCAAGAAATATATAAAATAATTGTAAAGTAACTAAAAAAGTCACTTTTCTTCATATTCCGCTGTTTTAGCACACTTTAAGAGCTGTTTTACGCACAGAAACAGCCGGTGGAGAGATGTTTAGAGTCACACCTGAAGATTTTCTTTACGGGCCTGGGTCCTCAACACGGGTTGGTTTACCACCTCAGTGTGGAGCCCCGTAAATATTTACGACCCGGGGTCTCCCCATACCTGTGTCTGGGTTCACTACCTCACACTCTCACTCAAACACGAAGCTATGTCTTTCCATTTTGGTTGGATGTGTGGGTGTGGGTTTGGGTGGGTGAGGGGAGATGTGTTGGGGTGTTTACGATCAGTCAGCGGGGATGGTGACAACCACAACCACAACCAGTCAGATGGTTGTGGTGGTGGTGGTGGTGCAGGGAAGCCTCGCCCCCCAAGCTCTCCAGGTTTTAATGACACATTGATAGGTGGGCGGCTTTATTTTGCTCCAGAAGAGACTTGTTAAGTTCCACCAGTACCATCGCTACCACCACACGTCACCACAGTGCCAGGCTCCACCACCACCACTATACGTCATCACAGTGCCAGGCTCCACCACCACCACCACTATACGTCACCACAGTGCCAGGCTCCACCACCACCACACGTCACCACAGTGCCAGGCTCCACCACACGTCACCACAGTGCCAGGCTCCACCACACGTCACCACAGTGCCAGGCTCCACCACACGTCACCACAGTGCCAGGCTCCAAAACCACCACACGTCACCACAGTGCCAGGCACCACCATCACTGCCACTATAGGCATCTCCCAGCGTCACTAGCACCCGCCAAGTTTGATTCACGCCTCCAATATCCACCTAACTTTTCCCATCCTTCTGAAATTCCGTCTACAGTTATTTACGACGGAGAGTGGGGAGGGGGGAGAGTGGTGTCCCGTAGGAGTACTGTGAGAAGCCTTATGAGATCCTTAAGGAGGAGCTCTTGTGTGTCAAGAACACTGTCTCCTCTGTGGAGGCCGTCCTCCAAGGAACGAGCACCTCCGGAGAATGTTTGGGGGGTAGACAACATCCCTTAGGAGGTTAGGGTAGACAAATTTCCATGCCTGACTGGAGGGTTTGGTGTAGATGCCGTAGAATAAAGGCGGGGTGTAAAGTGAGGGTGTAGTGAGGGGTGGGGTGCAGGGTGAGGGGTGGGGTGCAGGGTGAAGGGCGGGAAGTAGAGTGAAGGCGGGAGTGCGTGGTGAGAGGGGGAGCAGAGTGAGGGCCGGGGCTATGGTGAGGCGGGGGTCCCCCAGGGCCTGGTGATGCTGCCAAGAGTCCTGCCACTTTAAATCTAAAAGTGAAGTCGTCTGCCTCGGAAGTGATTTTCATATGGAAATCCATCCTTAGGATCCGTCACTCCCCGGGGGTGCGTCACTCCCCGGGGGTGCGTCACTCCCCGGGGGTACGTCACTCCCCGGGGGTGCGTCACTCCCCGGGGGTACGTCACTCCCCGGGGGTGCGTCACTCCCCGGGGGTGCGTCACTCCCCGGGGGTACGTCACTCCCCGGGGGTGCGTCACTCCCCGGGGGTACGTCACTCCCCGGGGTGCGTCACTCCCCGGGGGTACGTCACTCCCCGGGGGTACGTCACTCCCCGGGGGTGCGTCACTCCCCGGGGGTGCGTCACTCCCCGGGGGTGCGTCACTCCCCGGGGGTGCGTCACTCCCCGGGGGTACGTCACTCCCCGGGGGTGCGTCACTCCCCGGGGGTACGTCACTCCCCGGGGTGCGTCACTCCCCGGGGGTGCGTCACTCCCCGGGGGTACGTCACTCCCCGGGGGTACGTCACTCCCCGGGGGTGCGTCACTCCCCGGGGGTGCGTCACTCCCCGGGGGTGCGTCACTCCCCGGGGGTACGTCACTCCCCGGGGGTACGTCACTCCCCGGGGGTGCGTCACTCCCCGGGGGTACGTCACTCCCCGGGGGTGCGTCACTTCCTGTAAAGCACGTTTGAGCAGGCCAAGCAAGGACAAGTACGTAGGTACTCAGATCAACTGTAGCTTTCAACTTTTCTTGAACAGTGTTCGAATCTCGTCTCGAATAATGTTTCACCCACGTACTGCAAATACTAATAAATGTCTATAGAACGTCGCCTACAGCCCGTCCTCCAAACAAATCCCAAAAGTGATTCCATGCACCCGCCAAACCCCCTATTTATAAATGGAAAAACGGTTTACACACGACTAACAATTGATTTCGTTCGAACACTTCTAGAACAAGTGCTTCACTGACGAATTTTGTTCGAACCACAACGCTATAAATGCTTCACCCACGTACTACAAATACAAATAATCGCCAACAGAACCTAAACACCTAACCTAACCTATGCCTATATATGCACAATATACTAATATATTATAAGATTAATTTATATTTGAGAAAATTCCCGTTTTCAATGAACAGCATGTACAAATTTATTTATGCGTCTGTGGGGTCGACCGCTGGATGTAATGGACTTGAGTCGAGGACGGGTCGTAGCCTGACAGGTCGTAGCCTAACCTAGGACTAAATGTACACCACAGTTTCAATATATAATAATATATTATAATTTAAAAGTGTTAATTTTGAATACAAGATTCACTAAAATTAACGAATGCGTCTTTGGGGGCGATCGCAGCTTGGAACAGCATGGCTTGAGGATGGGTGGTGAAGTATATATATTTCCTGTGGAGCAAAGGTGAACAAAGTCGGGTCTCAACCGAAAGGTCCCGGGTTCAATTCTCACGGCAGGACTGAAGCATTTGAGTAACGTGTTCTTTCATCTGACGCCTTTGTTGACGTAGCAGCAAATAGGTACCTGGGAGTTGGACAAATCTTGTGGGTTGAAGCCTAGGAAAGGTCAGTAGATGACCTAGGGGATGGTGGATCTCTATAAGCCTGGCCTGGCCTGGCTTTCTGTTATATGAGAGGCCATACATTTAATTAACTTGGATCATCTGGGATTCGAATTCGGGCCTGAATCATGCAATACCCGACTCGGGATCGACGGGGTTGATTACGACCGCGTGGTCTAGCTACCCCTAACCCACTAACAACAACAACGCGGACGAGGTAAGGTGGTGGACTCTGCCTTGTTTAACCGCGCGATTCATTACCCGGACCACGGGAGCTATCTCCCGTCACGCAGGGTGCAGTCGCACCTCCACAGATCTCCAGTATCATCTATTGATACTGGTAATGGCTCAAAAGGGCCACCACTTACGGGCTATTCATGCCCGTGCCACCTTTTGGGTGGTTTAATCTTCATCAATCAATCATTACCCGGACCACGATAACTGCGTTCTATCTGACCGTAATGTGTGCTCCGCTCTTTGTTTGGTAGTGGAGGGCTTCAGCAGGTCGTAGTATACGTTAGAGTAATGATATGATATAAACTGTATTCGTAAGTGTTTTATCAGTTACATATTCATTCTGGGGTTTTAAGTTGCATTTGTCAATATGAGAAAATTTACCTATTTCTATTAATTGTTGTTAAATTATTAGTTTCCCAATAATTGTTTCCCAACGTCAATAAACTGTCGTACTTAAGTTTCCTTATCCTAACCTACCAGAGGAACCAAAACAAAAAACGGGACAGTATGTCAATTTCGCGACCATTTTCTAGTGCGACAATTTTTCTACCGTAGGTAGAGTGTGCGTCAAAATGGGACGTTCTATTAGGAGGACGGGTTGAACACAAGGGCAGTGTATTGTAGTGTCGAATACCTTATGTCGTAACTCACAACTTGAATCAAGCATTATCTATATTTGCACTGCTGAAATACAATTAGTAATACTACATCAGTACTGCAAACGTATATGATAATCAGTGATTATGTAAGTTACAGCCCTTCCTCCTTAAAAGAAAGTACTTATTGGTACTTTTCACCAAATAGTTACAGAATGTAACGATGGACCACAAGAAAGTTGACTTATTTTTGTAATATTGAATTTTGACCAACCGGAAACTTATCGGGTACTCATAATATAAGACTTAACCTTTCGTAGCGATCCTGGACCCTAATACACGCGATCTTGATATAGTACATATGTGATATACTAAACCTAGGAATATTTAAGTTTGGATTTAAGCTTTATTTTTCCGTGGACACACATGGTGCACGGTTCAAGCCTCCTAGAGCCCAGATGACTGGTAATGTTCCATCAGTTATCCCAGCTGACCATTTTTGCGTGTCCTGCAGAGCGTACCCGGTCGCTGGAGATCATGCCACCGCACCCCGACAACGACTTCCCCAACCTGAAGGATGAACTCATCGCTGGCTTCGACGTGACCCCCTCCAGGAACCACCTGACGACTTCTACCCCTGCACCCACCACCACCCCACCACCGCGGAGGTGCCAGGCCCTGGACGTGACCCTGTGTGCCAACCTTCACCACAACGTCACCACCTACCCCAACTTGCTAGGTCACGCTGACGCCCGCACAGTCGAGAGTGACATCATCTCCGTCAGGTAGGTCTTGGTTGACCCTTTCCGGAGGGAATTAAATCCGCCGGAGGGGCGGATTTAATCCTGAGGGACTGTTGTTGTTTCTGTGGCCGTGTGTCTTTGTGAAGTCTGTGGGTACTGTATATTCTTGTTATGTGTGCGTGTACGTAAGTGCTTGTACTTGGGTAAATGTATGTGTGTTCTTGTACGTTGGTGCTTGCACATAGGTGCGTGTACACTAACCTTTTTTGTCCCTGCAGGTTTGATCTTTAGCTCTTGTACCCCGCTTTTCCAGTCCAGTGCTAATGCAGTGCCGCCTGTCTGTGTGTGTACGTGCTTCCAGCTTTACACATGGCATTCATGTTTTATTTAAGCAATGATATCCACTCTCTCGCGTGAAGAGCTCCACAAATTGCACCTCTGAATAATTTATCACACTACCAGAGCAGCTAAAAATGCAATTTGTATCAAGAGTCGGGTCAACTAGCCTGGGCGGAGGGTACTGGTCTGGGTACCCGACTCGGGAGTGTTAAAACACAAGGAACCTCAATGCTCATGTGCCTATGTTAATAGCACAGTTGTGCCACTGGTGAATAGCCTGGCAGTACCGACACACCAATCGAGAGAGGGAGGGCTAAGAGCCTTCAACAGAAAGCTAAAGTCTAATGCAAACGACAATATAAGGATGTGATTGTTTGGTGACAGTGGAGGATTCTAGCTGCTGGGTGCCGGCACCGTGAGCGTCGAGCATAGCGAGTATGCTCACGGTGAGCGTAGGAGCAGAGGGTGCCAGCCTATAGCACTGTCCATACCAAAGTTATCCTTGAGGATCTGCCATGTAGATAGTTGAGAACTCCATAGTGACCTCCAGTGTGTGGCTCTAGTGTGACCTCCAGTGTGTGGCTCTAGTGTGACTTCGAGTGTGTGGCTGAGGCTCAAGTGTGACCTTTGCACTGTCCACTGCAGGGAGGTGATCGACTCTGAGTGCCACCCGCTGGCGCAAGAGTTCCTGTGCGAGTTGCTGCAGCCGGACTGTCGCCGCGCCCAGACCATGAACCCGAGCGGGGTCTTCGAGGACCACATCATCAGCCCCTGCAGGGACTTCTGCGAGGACGTGATGAGCACATGCGGCCGCCGCCTGTCCTCGCACCTCCGCCTGGCCATAGACTGCTCCAGCTTTCCGGCCCTGGACGGGGGCCGAGAGTGTACCACCAAACCAGGTATGTGCGCAGCTGTTCATGCGCTATATTGTTGCGCTAATCTTAGCGCTTTCTCTTTGTTACCTCGTCTTACATCAGCTGGTCTCCGGCCCTCTTTCCCGCGGGCTGGTCTCTGGCCCCTCTTTCCCGCGGGCTGGTCTCTGGCCCCTCTTTCCCGCGGGCTGGACTCCGGCCCTCTGCAAGATGCTGCGAGCTCTCTTTTTCATGCCATTAACTCTTTTTAAAATACTTGGTCCATCTCCCCGGTACATTTCAGCATCTTTAGATGAGCGACTCTCCAGCGTCTTATCTTTCCCCAAATTTCCTTCCTGTGTTTGTTTTTTTGTTTGTAGTTTTTTTTGCTTTTCAAGAAATTTTCACTCGTTCCTGAAATCGTTATCGGATGTTTCTTCTACTGTCTTGTTTTTGCGAGTCTAGCCAGTATGATAATCCTTCTCCGCCCGTCGTGATGCCTTCCCGTCCCTGATAACGGAGATAACCTGATAACTTGCGCTAGAGTTTTGGTCGCACCTTCGACGCGAATCTTGGGACAGCATAAAGCTTGGCGGAGCGCATGATTTCAGGAGACGTTTCTTGCGGCTGTTTTAAGAAGTCGAGGACATTGGTTCATTTGTAGAACATGTTGTGTGCGTTATTTTCCAGCGTCAGTCTTCTGTAGGCAGCTTGACAGACATGTTGACCAGACCACACACTAGAAGCTGAAGGGACGACGACGTTTCGGTCCGTCCTGGACCATTCTCAAGTCGATTGTGACTTGAGAATGGTCCAGGACGGACCGAAACGTCGTCGTCCCTTCACCTTCTAGTGTGTGGTCTGGTCAACACACTTTTAGCCACGTTATTGTGACTCATCGCCTGCTTGACAGACATGATCGCCTACACTCGGAGACTTCCCGTGGAACTTGACCAGTGTCAGTCACAGCTTTTGAAGCTTTTCTTACTCGTGGCTGGGGGATAAAATCCGTTTTTCTTCTCCCGCCTCTGAACTCGGTGTATTAAAGAATAATAATTTTTGCTACCAATCTCTTTTTTTCCCTGTGATAATTTCATCACGTTTCGGGATGCTGATTGATGATTGATAAAGATTAAGCCACCCAAGAGGTGGCACGGGCATGAATAGCCCGAAATTCAGGATGCTTATTGGCGTGGGTTATATATAATATATATATATATATATATACATATATATATAGTGTTCACGAACCAAACAAGACGGGAGACATCTCCCGTCACGCAGGGTGCAGTCGCACCTCCACAGATCTCCAGTATCAGCTCTTGATACTGGTAATGGCTCAAAAGGGCCACCACTTACGGGCTATTCATGCCCGTGCCACCTTTTGGGTGGCTTAATCTTCATCAATCGAACCTAACAAGTTAGATGAACACTGTTTTGTGGGGCTTTGAAAGACGGCCGTCTGAGATGGAACGCCTTGTTTGTCGTGGTTGGTGTTCCTAATGCCTCCATGTTCCACCTATTCCCTCTCCTCCAACCCCCCCCCCCTTCCCCCTCTAACCCCTCACAGTGCAAGGCGTAATAGGGGGCAGGGATGGGGGGGGGAGTGAGGGTATAACTGACTAGGAACCAATAATGACTTGTGAAGGGGAGGGGGTGCAGGGAAGGGGAGGGTGTATAGTGGGAGGGAGGGAGGGTGGGAAGGACTGCTCCCCTTCCGTGTCAACATCACCAACAGATTTCAATCAAATTAGGTAGCCAAAACCTGGCTGGCTCACCTCACCTGTTCAACAGTTGTGCATCCCTTGGCCCTCACACACCTGTTCCATGCAACCCCCCCCCTCCCACCTCTCCCACCCCGTCACATCATTCAGTTTGTCTAACCTCTCTATCAATTGCCCACTCCCACAGTGGAGATGCCCAACCACTTGGGCTGGACGGTAGAGCGACGGTCTCGCTTAATGCAGGTCGGCGTTCAATCCCCGACCGTCCATGTGGTTCGCATCATTCCTTCCCCCACGTCCCATCCCAAATCATTATCCTGACTCCTTTCCAGTGTTATATAGTCGTAATGGCTTGGTGTTTTCTCCTCGTAGTGCCCCTCCCTCCCCCTCTCTCCCACAGTGGAGGCCCTTCCCTCTCTCCCACAGTGGAGGCCCCTCCCACCCTCCCTCCCCCACAGTGGAACCTCCCCCCCCCCTCCCACGGTGGCTAGGTACAATGTGCATTCACCGCCCGGTAAAAATCCGGACATAAAGAGGATTTACTTTTCTTTTCATTGGACGAGAAGTTTGGTGCTTCAATTCCATTAATGTTAGACAGAGATAAAAGAGAGGAAATCCTTATAACCGGTGAGCGTGAAGACCTGTCATGGAAGTTGTCAGACCTGGTGGTGGGGGACGGGGGGTGGGGTGGAGGGGGGTTGTTGATGGTGGTTGTGGCTGTTTTTGGCGGGGGATGGTAGGAGGGGTGGGGGTGGTTGTTGGCGGAGGTGGTAGTTTGCAGTTTAATCTCCCCCACCCCCCGTTTAAGGGGGTCTACACCCCCCAGTTTAAGGGGGTTCTCCCCCCCCCCTCCCAAGGGTAGGCGCTCGGGATCAATGATTACCCCGCTAGCAATTATACCCACTCACCCACTTATACTGCCGGGCTCGTTAATCATCCCCTGAACTTATTACTGCTGGGAGAGCCCCATTCTCCCCCCTCCTCCTCCTCCTCAGCCTCATCCCGAACCAAGAGATCCTACCCCCCCTCTCTCCCTCCCTCCCTCCTCTTGCCCCATGCCCCCAGCAACCCCTGATATTTCCCGCCTTTTCCGCTGATACAAGGACCTGCCCTTGTGCCCTTCGGCTCCGGGGCCCTCGTGCCCCTAGGGCTCCGGGGCCCTCGTGCCCCTAGGGCTCCGGGGGCCCTCGTGCCCCTAGGGCTCCGGGGGCCCTCGTGCCCCTAGGGCTCCGGGGGCCCTCGTGCCCCTAGGGCTCCGGGGCCCTCGTGCCCCTAGGGCTCCGGGGCCCTCGTGCCCCTAGGGCTCCGGGGCCCTCGTGCCCCTAGGGCTCCGGGGCCCTCGTGCCCCTAGGGCTCCGGGGCCCTCGTGCCCCTAGGGCTCCGGGGCCCTCGTGCCCCTAGGGCTCCGGGGCCCTCGTGCCCCTAGGGCTCCGGGGCCCTCGTGCCCCTAGGGCTCCGGGGCCCTCGTGCCCCTAGGGCTCCGGGGCCCTCGTGACCCTAGGGCTCCGGGGCCCTCGTGACCCTAGGGCTCCGGGGCCCTCGTGCCCCTAGGGCTCCGGGGGCCCTCGTGCCCCTAGGGCTCCGGGGCCCTCGTGCCCCTAGGGCTCCGGGGAACCCGTGCCCCTAGGGCTCCGGGGGCCCTCGTGCCCCTAGGGCTCCGGGGCCCTCGTGCCCCTAGGGCTCCGGGGCCCTGTCCACGTCGCCTCGACCTAACACGACAATTTATTTTCTGAAGGTACGGGGTCGAGGTTGGGGCGAAGGGGACCTTATCGGACTGGAATAGATAGCGAGTTGTGAAAACAAAGAGCTGTGTGTTTTCCCAAAGACCCAAGACTCGCGTACAAATCCACAAGGGCCGTGACGAGGATTCGAACCTGCGTCCGAGAGCATCCCAGACGATGCTCAAAGACTCACCCATACGCTAAGCTGGTGTGAGTTTATGCTGGTGTCCCGTATGTGTGAGTTTAGTGGCGGCGGGTAAGTCTCTTGGGTAGAGTTGGCTGCGTTCTCGACTCACAATCGGGGATCCCGGGTTCGATTCTCAGGTGGGACAGAAATGGTTGGGCACGTTTATTTTTACTTGTGTGTGTGTGTGTGTGTGTGTGTGTGTTCACCTAGCAGTAAATACGTAGCCCGGACGTTGGGCCACTGTTGTGGGGTTGCATCCTGTGGAGGGTCAGTAGTTCCACCTTGAGGAACCCCTCGACACAATCCTCAAGTATATATGTACACAGGCTTCCTGTCCCGGACCAAACCAATTATTAATATATTATTTATTAGCATGTATGGATTTGTATCGATGTATAGTTTGGTGTGAGCAAATTTGTATACTATGATATTTATGTGAATTCTTTGCTGCCACTGTATAAAAAGGGACATTTTTGGGATGAAATAGTATTTTAAAATTGTTGTGTGATCAGGTGTGCTGGAGCGCTCTACACGCCAGGAATTACTAATGGCTTTACGGGCTCACCATAGCCCGTGCTACATGGACACTTCGTCCTGAGTAGTTAAATCTAAAACAATAACAACAACATACTAATGGTGTTTTTGCCTGCACTTCATCATCGAATATGTCGAGAGTCTTGGCTGACCTCTGACAGATCTGACTTGCCTCAGCTCCTGGGCTCTCGCCTGGAGGAGTGGAGCGTCTGCAGTATATCTTGAGTTTGAGGCAGAAGTGGCGGTCTTTACCTGAAGTCTTTGATGCGTCTCGACACATTGTTAAATTGCTCTTTCTTTTATTATTATATTTGGTCATACCTTACTTTGCTCCTCAGCTCTCTCTTGCCTATTTATTGCCTGTCTCTACTTCCTCATTACAATCGACTTGAGAATGGTCCAGGACGGGCCGAAACGTCGTCGTCCCTTCACCTTCTAGTGTGTGGTCTAGTCAACATTTGGTCATACATTAGGGCAATGGCTCTGTAGGCTCTCTCTCAGGCTTGTAAAGTTATGTTGCCTGATGTTACAATGTTGCAGACGATGAGTCACAATAACGTGGCTAAAGTATGACTTGAGAATGGTCCAGGACGGACCGAAACGTCGTCGTCCCTTCACCTTCTAGTGTGTGGTCTGGTCATCATGTTACAATGTTGTTCTTGATCAAACTTCACCAGTCCGTAGATGGAGCTGGTAGTGACAATTCTTTATGTAGCGAATAGTTCTTAGACCAGGTCTGCGTTTAACATTTTTTTTTTGTATAGATACATTGGCCTTATTGGTAGAGCTGTCTGTATTAATTATTTATTTTTGAAACTGATGCCTTATTAGTCGCAATTTTTTTGTTTGTACATAGTGGATACGGGACTGGTGAGTGAACGT